GAGCATCATCCCCCGAAGAGAAAAGCAGGGGGGTATGATCGGAGCCAATCCGAGTGACCGCCTTGAGGGAGCACAATGGGAACATCACTTCCCACTGAGCCGACACAAAGACCCGATCCAAGACACTCCGAATGGGGTCTAACTTCGTATTCGTCCACGTGAACCTCGCCCCTACACGGGCTATCTCATGAAGAGCAAGGTCCGCAATGCAGTCGTTAAATAGACGCATGCGGACCCGATGAACATTAGGAGAGCTTTTATCTGAATCCCACCTAATGAGGTTAACATCCCCGGCCACCACGACCGGAGTGGTGCACCTCTCCACCTTATTTCTTAGCTCGGCAAGGAAAGCGGCCGAATGCCCATGATCCGCAGGACCATAAACAAAAATCACCTCCCAGTTGAGGTGAACTCGTCGGTCGGTGACGGACATGCTCAGGAAGAACTCCCCTCGGTCCATATCTTCAAACGAGAAAGCATCCTCTCTGACACCGAGCAGGATGCCTCCAGATTGTCCCGTGGCTGGTAGCCACTGCCAGGCAAACTGGTGGCTAGAGAGCCCCTGAAGCTCATGCATGCTGAAGTCCTGGCGAATCATCTCCTGAAGTCCCACAATGTCAATCTCTTCTTGCCGCAAATACTCGATGAGTTGCCGACGCCGGCCCGTGAGGCCGAAGCCCTAATGTTCCAACATAGGAGCTTCATTTAATAACCTCAGTGAAATCCCTAGGCTCCGCAAGCAGGGCCGAGCTAGCCCGCCCGACAATCGCAGCTCGGGGGGATGCTTTCACCGGACGGCCACGTCGCCCCTGTGTAGGAGGGGCAACGAAGGCCTCCAGTCCGAGGGAAGTGGACCTGGAACTAGACCCACACACCTCTATCCGATGTTCAGTGGGATTGAGACGTGTGTGGGACGCCCTCGCAGAGCCCTCGCCGACGGAGGAATAGCAAGAGGCGTGTCTGCCACAGTCGCCAAAGGGGGCTCCGCATCAGCCTTGGTCTCTCTATGACCAGGGTCAGTGTGAGCCGGGGTGCTGGGTCCACCACGCGGAGACAACAGAGCGGAACCAAGCACAGAAAATCAAGAACCAGAACCAGAAGGATCTGAGGGAATGTTGGGAGTACCTGAGGACAAGTCACGAGCAACCGCCCGCATGGCGGCCTTCTCCGGGATTGTCGGGACACGGCCATCCAGGAGGACCCGGGACTGGCTCAGCCTCGCACTCTGCCACGCGGCCACCATCGGAGAAGGCCCGCTTCGCAGTTTGGAGCCGGCCTCTGTAGG